ATCCTCCATGATTTGTACTTCAGTAACTTTTCACAACTCTTTACCCACTTAACTGTTTTTCCAAAATAAAAAAAAACTTTTCTTCTGATTGTAAAATGATATGCATTGTTTTTTTTAAAAACAAGCATCAAGCAGTTCTGAACAGTGATTATGAAGAAGTCACTATGATCAGAAATCCTACCAGATAGGGAGTAGCAACTGACTAACATGTGGTAAACACATGTTATGTTATGGAGAAATCTGGGAAGATGTGCTGTACTCACTGAAGAAATGTGCCTGTTCTTGCTGCTCTTAAGCTCTTTTCTTCCCTTCCTGTGAGTAAACTTATCGTGCAGTGTCGAGGCAGGTAAACAGAGAACTAGGCTCTAAATTTCTTACATCCAAGAGACCATAGTGGTTCTGACAGGTGAAGAGTCATTAGATAGGAGGAGAGATGGCTAGAGGAAAGGAAAGAAGAATTAGTGGAGAGTGAAAGGGAGTGTGAAAGCAAGGTATACTTCTTCCCTTTTAATCCTTTCTTGATGAGATGAGTTTCATATGAAGTGGATTTACTTATTTCCAATGGAAACAGTGTGCACCAATGAGTGAATTCATATGCTAGCTTGACAAATCTGCCTGGGAGAAGAAAGGGATGTCATCACGTGTGTGGTGAGAGGGTATGGGGCATGGAAGTAGCTACAAGCCTGTGGTATAAATGATGCCAGGAAGCTGCTCATAGTAGGCTGAGTGGTGCCTGCAAATCAGGTGTTTGTCTTCCGCCACAGAAAGTATGGGGCACTGCTGTGTAAAGGCCTCACCCTGGATTTCACTGACCATTTTTGAAAGTGACAAGATTTAGTTTTCTACTCATAATCACATGCAAGTTCAATATGAAGAAAATTGGGTTTAGTTTATAACTTTAAACATATATTCCAGCAGTGTCGTTGGCTAAAAATAATTTCGGGCAACACATTTTTAATAAAAACATCTTTCATATATGTAGTGATATGGTAAAGCTGCTTCGTTTTATTCAATATTAGAATGATTCAGAAATGATAGTCTTTAATGACTGCACAGTATTTTATTAAATGTATATACTATAGTTTATTTAAATAGTTCCCAGCTAACAGCTATTTAAGCTTCTAGTTTTTTATTATAAAATGGTGTGCTGTCATAAATGTTCATATACATGCATATTCAGGTACTTGTTATTTCTGTAGGGAAATCTCTAGATTTCTAGAAATAAGATTTGTTAACCAGAGGCTACACACATTAAATTTTTTGATAATTTGCTATGTTGCCTTTTGGTAAGTCTGTCAAGTATTTAAAAAGTTTTTAGGCTTATAAGGTAAGTCTTATAAAAATAGATTTTATGAGGTTCTCATCTTCATGTATTTAATGTTTATTTCTATTTCTTTTGTGAATTGCCTGTTCATGAAATTTTGCTCGTTAAAAAAATGATGTTGACCTGTTTCTTAATGATATGAAGAAGTTCTTGAAATAATAAATCCATTGATACTTTTTATTGTGATTTTTTGTTTTCAGCTTCTTTACTTTTTTATGGTGACTTGCCATACAAATACTTGATTTATAGTCAGAGCTGTCATTATTTTCTGTCATGGTTCTTGGTTTTATATCATGTGTAGGAAGTCAAGACATCAATCTCCTTACTCCCAAGTTATGAAGAAATGCTCATCCACATTTTCTCCTGGTACTGTTGTTACTTTTTTTTTATAATCCAGTTTTTGGACCAGCTGGGATTTTCTTCGATATAAGACATCAAGCTTAATTTTTTCATAGGTCTAGCTAGTGCCAGTGTCATTTAATGAAGAATTCATCTTTTGCGTACTGATTTCAAATGATTTCTTTATCATATACAGAATTTCTCTATTTGGTTGGGTTTATTTCTGGGTTTAGAGTGTTGTATAATTGTCTCATGCTTTTCTGTTTTTACTAGTTGTTTACTAAATATTTTAATGCCCACTATGTGTTACTATTCTAGGCACTGGAAATACGATAAAACAAAATTCCTTCTGTCCTGGAGCTTACATTTTAGTGATATACCTGTTGGATTTTTAGTCATAAAAAGGACCAAAAGTTTAGTGATAGTCTTTTGGTGGCAGAGGCAAAGCATGTCTCCCCTATCATTTTTGTGCCACAGTGGAGAATAAGAGGGGTCACAGGAATTTTTTAATATCTTCTGCCCATTTTTTAGTTGGGCTGTTTGCTTTTCTTATTGTTAAGTTTTAAGAGTTTTTCTGTATATTGAATAACAGTTCTTTATCGCGTATGTCTTTTGCAGATATTTTCTCCTACTCTGGCATGTTGTCTTTCTTGATACATTTCCTTTCTTAGTGAATGCCAACATCATATGAGCAGTTGTTCAAGTTAAGACTTGAGCGTCATCTTTGACTCTTTCTTCTTAGGTCATATCTTATTAATTACCAAGATCACTAATCATCAAAATTAATTATCTTCAGTATTTTCTGAATCAAAATTTGTCTGCTCTGTTACTATTACAACTTGGGGCACATTCAGCTCTCACCTGGTGTGCTTGCCTCTAGTCCTGCGTCTTTCCACTTATTCTTTCATACTGCATGGAATAATGTTTTCTACCTTTTAAAATTTAGCAGTGTCCCTTCGTCTTTATAATATAGCTCAGATTCTCAATCCTGGCTAGGGAGTCTAATTATATCATCTACTTTTTCTTGGAAGTCATCCTGAGTCGCCTAACCACTACTGAGTTTATATTAGGTGAATTTCCTGTGTTAGACATCTGGTGCTTTCTATTTAGAGTACATACCATAAAATTTTTTTTAAAAATTACCTTATGAGGTATAATTCATGTACAATAAACTGCATCCATTTAAAGTGTAAGATTCAGTGAGTTTTGACAATTGCATACAACTATAAAACCATTGGCACTATGAATATATAGAACATTTAAATCAACCCAGAAAGGGACCTTGTGTCCCTTGATTGTCCATCTCTCTCTCTCTGGCCCTGGCCCCAGGAAACCACTGATTTGCTTTTTGTCTGTAGATTAGTTTGCATTTTCTAGAATTTTATACGTTTATGGAAGGATTTGTATTATCTTTTAACTTCACTTTTTCGTGAATTTTTTGAAGTACCCTTTTATACTGTACTCATTTTGTGTCTTTCAATCAGAATTTGAAATTTATAGATGTTTTTGTGTATCAGGAATTTTTTTATTGCTGAGTAGTATTCAGTTGTTCATTAATTTACCTGTTGAATATTTGGGTTGTTTCCAGTTTTTGGATATTTATTACACTGAATTTTAACTGCCTAATTATTTTTTGTCTTCTTCTGTAATGCATACAGTGCTATAAGAGCAGAAGACATAGTCTCTCTTGTTTGTGTATACAAGCCCCTGTGTGGTACTAGCAGGTGCTCAGTAAAAGTTTATGACAGTAATGAGTGATGAACACTTATCATAATGCTAACAAGCAGAAAGGCAATATTATTCCAAGTAGTACAAATACAAATTTACCTCTGTGTGTTCAACCAAGTTTCATTAAGGAATAGTATTCATTCAGCTTTTCAGTTATTTAGTTTTTCTGTTTACATTTTGGTCCCAAGCAGACTGATTTTTAATGGTGATTTGATTATACTAAAACAAGCACATAGTCTCTTTCTGATTCTTTTGAAAACATTACAGTTTGAGTTCCCATTACACAAGGTTATATATCCAGGACTCTAATATCAATGATTTTATGTAGTTGGGATACAAATGTTTGTTAACTATACTCATATTTGTGGAAAATATCTTCCAGTTAGTGTTTTTATTTATTTATTTAAGTTTCATGGTTATGTTTAAGGAACATAAATTGTTAATTTTAATATCAAATGTGTGAGATAGGAATCCAATTTTATTCCTTACCCCTTAAATATGGAACATTAGTTTTCCAAATACCATGTATTTTAAGATTCCATGTTTCCTCACATTTTCTGTTATAAATTGTTTGTTTATGGACTTCCTGTTTTTCTTGATTTATTAGTATGTTTGTTTTTATGCTAGTACCACTCTAATTTATTCTATCATAGTTTTTCTTTATATCTTGGTTTAAAAAAAGCCCCCCCACCTTATTTTCCTTGAAGTATTTCGGCTGTTGTCAATCTTTTGTTCTTCTACATAAATTTCGAAACAGTTTATTAAATTGCTACTTAACATCTTTGAAATATTAGTTTGAATTTTATTGCATTGTTAAATGAGTTTTAGGGAGAATTGATATATTCATGATGCTGAGTTTTTAGTCACTGAACGCGGCATAACTTTATTTTCATTTGTCTTCTCTCATGTCTTCCAGTAAAATTTCATACTTTTTTCCATGATGGTTCACTTATCTTCTGTTATATCTATGACTTAGGACAGGAGCCATTCCCCTACAACCCATGGGACAAATCGGAATACCACTGGCTTTTGTAAGGTCCATGATCTAAGAATGCTAGCTAAGAACTTTATAAATGGTTGGAAAAAACCAAAAAACATTATTTCATAACATGTAAAAATTATATGAAATTAAAATTTTAGTGCCTATGAATAACATTTTATTGGAACATAGCTAATGTTCATTCATTTAGGTGTATGATTACGTTTACACTGTACATGGCGGTATTGATTGTTGCAACAAAGATTGTATGTACTGCAAATTGTAAAATATTTACCATCTGGCTCTTTATGGGAAAAGTTTGCCCACCCCTGACTTACAATTATTTATCTATGTATCTCAGTGTTTCTTTGTGTGTTGGGACAGGGAGTGAGGAGTGGGGTGTCAGCCTCCCTTTCTTTTACCTTCATCTCCAGTTCTAATAAGACTTATACTCATAATGAGTCACTGTTATTAAAGTGTGTAGCTTTCTTCAAATGTATTTGGGCAGAGCAAAAAGTTGAATATCGTGATTTATATAGTAATTATTATAGCTGATTTTGATATTTTACATTTGATCATTTAAATAAAGTATAACTTTATTCGCCCCTCTACTGATTTCCCCTTTTATAGGAAATTAAAAGAGAGACAGAATCCAAGGATGACAATTTGCCCATCAAACGGGAAAGGCATGGGAATGTAGCAAGTCTTGTACAACGAATAAGCACCTATGGGCTTCCAGCTGGAGGAATTCAGCCACATCCACAAACCAAAAACATCAAGAAGAGTATGTAAATAATTCCTTTTCTGCTTAAATTTATCAAAATTGAAGCATATTTTATAACTTCATAAATTAGGAGAAATTAGTTCAACCTTATGTAGTAGACTACAGTAGCTTCCTAGTTATTGTCATGTTATTAGTTATTGGCCTATGTAGTCAAACATAATTTTTAGTCATGTTCAGCTAATAACATGTTGATATTCCAGCATGAGTAGCTGACAGCCATCTACAGGAATTATAAATTAAAATATGAGGTTTCGTTTTCTTATTAATCTTACGGACTGCTGAATGATTAACACTTTAACTATATTTTAATACCATTTATTTTAATGAGATGCTGAAATGTCTGCTGATCCTTAGCATAGATTCAAGATTTTCATATTGCTTTTTCTTTAGTGGTTTGAACATAAACATTGTTTTTAAGGTGGATGGCCCAGAAGAGTGCCTTTTAAGGATTCGGTACTCTGTAAATATGTTAGGAGAACAACTTGGCATAGAGGGAGAGCATCACATTTGAAATCAGATATGGGTTTGAGTTTGTCTTATGACATCAGAAAGATCATTGAAACTTTAGAGTTTTATTTTGCTACTGGTGAAAAAGTGGTAAAAAAGACATAACATTGCCATTTTCAAAGGGCTTACAGTCTTGGGAAAGACTGTTATTAAAAATGTTTAAAATATTAAACATGTATAAGGAAGTACAACATATATGGGAACAGATAGCAAGTATCTTAACATAATAAGAGCTGCAGTCCTTTGAGAGATTGAATACTTAATACCATGGCCAGTGTGATTTGGTAAATAGTAAATGAGTATTTAACCACATTTACCTTAGATTAGTGTCTTTGAAGTTGTGGTTCGTAAATAACTTGTACTAAGTAGTCTGCAATAAAGAAATTTTGTTTATATACATTTCTCAAATTGTAAATGTAATGCTATTAATGGTTTTTATAGGGTCCTATTATATCTTAACCTATTGGTTTCTTTTCTTTTTTTTTTTTTTGTGGCTGGCCAGTATGGGGATCCGAACCCTTGACCTTGGTGTTATAACACCATGCTCTAACCAACTGAGCTAACTGGTCTGCCCTAACCTATTTGTTTCTATGCTACTATCTCTGTCAAGTTTGGGGAAACCTCTACTTTCTGTGTTACATCACCCGTTGATTAGTTTCATAAAATGAAAACAGATTTTCATAAAAGTGAAACACATTTCACAACACCAAGACAGACCCAGAAAATGCAGTGTCCAGACAATATTTAGATGTTACCTATACTGCATTTAGCCTAACTGCTTGAAGGTGGGCACAGTTTCAGCAGTTCTGTTCTAACCGTCCTGGACTCTGAAACTGTTTAGAGATTGAGGGACAAATAACAGATCTGAACCTCTGTATAGAATTTCTGTGCTCAGAGAACTTTTAGGTCCATGGGAAGGGTTATTTAACACTTCTACCTATAGTAAAATCCTTTTACAACTTTCTTTCACTCTATGGAGTTATGAATGGACAGGTTTCTAAAATAGAGGCTTTAAGATTATGAAAATTTTATTCATTTTGTCTTCTAATAGGAAAGGCACAGTAAATATTACTTTTCTTAACAACACTGGGTGTAATTCTTTTTCTTGTAAAAAGGGAAAACCATTATGGTGTTAGGAGGCTTAGGCCTTTTTCCCTAAAGATCCTCCATAACATGTTTTTAAGTGTGTGTGCTGTAAGGACTAAATTGGTCATTTAGTATCAGCCAACATTTAAAACAGGATGCAGGTTGTTTTTGCTTTCCTGTTTTCCTGTCATTTATGTATTGTTGTAAGTCTAGTAAATCTGGTTTATTTTTGTTACTGTTAGTTTGCATCATATCTCTAATTCACAAAATAGATCAGTTATTTAAAAGTGGTTCATTGTATTGTGAAATAGTAGTGGATACTACTAACCAACACTGTTAATATTAAAAACAAACCAAAACAATTTTAAAGGCTGATAGTATAATCACTGCAGTGTGAATGTTTAATTTAAATCTCTGCATGCCAAGACAAAGTGAATCTGCATGTGTATGTAATTTTGTCTAAACAACTAAAAAAGAAAGGTTCAGATAGGTAGTATGATGGTGAATATCTGTAAACTGGATTTTATTATTATGGTTCTCTAGTTCCCAATGTGTTGGCTCTTTTTGTGTAATCATGAAGTCATTGAGACTTTTGCTATCATGTTTTATTAAGCATGGTAACTTCTCTGGTAAAACAAAAGGGTATTTTCTAGAGCAAGCACAGAATAGTGTTTTGTAGGACAGAATTGATTACTGTAAGTTACTGAAGTCAGAGAAGAGAACAAATTTACATTTCTGAAAGCAAAAACAGGTACAGGTTAGATTACTCTGACATCCTTGTAAAATCAGCGACAAAGATATTGGTAGAGTATTATGCTTAGAAAGTAAAGAATTGACATCTTTCTGTATCACAACTCTAAATAACATTTAGTATGGAATATTAGTAGATATTTCAGTTTACATTTGGAAGAAATTGATGCCAGATGGAATCTACTCTTGGCAAGTGTAGGGGAAGATATCTGTGCTTGCTAACTTTGTTTTCCTTATTAGGGGAAACATGCTGCAGAGGAAGTGATTTTTCGTCAAGTTAATAATTATTTTAAATGTGAAAGTTACATTGAGATTGGTACTGATAGGTCACTTGTATGTATTCTGAAAAGAATGATGTTGCATATGAAATTCGTTGACAAAATGCCAATCTACAAATTGCTTCATTCCCAAGAAAGTTTGGTAGCAAATAGTATACCTCTTGATTTTGAGTCACTATTGAAGGAAATAGTGAAAATTCTGAATACCTTTAAATTGTGGCCACTGACTATGCATATTTATAGCATACCTGTTTAAAAAATGTGCATTTTAGTTCAGGCTCTGCTTCTTGTCATGGAAATATTCTGACTCATAAGGGGAAAAAGACTCACTCAAATGACTCCTCCCCAGTGCAGTCTCTTAAATGAATGAGGTAGGATGTTCTAACTTTGTGTTATTTTGAAAAATTTTAAATCTCTAGAAAAGTTTTACAGTGAACTTGGTACACCCTTCACTTAAGTTTACTGTTAACATTTTGTCACATTGACTTTATATCTATATACAGATACAAATTCTTTTCTTTTCTTTTTTTTGTCCTTTTTGAGACCGGCTGCACTGCACTCAGCCAGTGAGCGCACCGGTCATCCCTATATAGGATCCGAACCCGCGGCGGGAGCGCTGCTGCGCTCCCAGCGCTGCACTCTCCCGAGTGTGCCACGGGCTCGGCCCACAAATTCTTTTCTTTTATGGAATTACGTATAAGTATGTTGCTGGCATGATATTTACCTTTGACCCCATGAGTTCTTTCTTCATGATGCTGGTAATGATAACAAAGATTTTCTAAGATTTTGAGTGTCTTAATCAAATGGTATATATCAATATAAGGAGTATAGGCAATATAGGGAATATCTTGAACAGTCTGAAGCTTTCATTTAATGGCTTAAATATTATGATTTTTTAATTGCTAAGGATAAGAAAGAATTTGTAAAGATTTAGTCATTTAGCAAATGGCTAAATCACTGTTTCTTAACATTTGATGATTTTCTTTGCTTACTGGAGAAAGAAATTGATAAAATTTTGACTGAGTAATTTTTTTTTTCTTTTTTTACTTTATTTTTATATATTTGTGGGATTTAGTGTGTTGTTTCAATGCATGCATATACTGAACAATGATTCACTTAGGGTAGATAGCATAATTAGTAAATTAAAATACTGCAGTAAAACCTGAAGATATACTTTCCAGACCAAATGCAACCAAAAAGTAGATGAGGAACTTTTGCTGTTATCTCTGAGGTTTTAGCATTTACCTCCCACCTTCTGAGTGGGGTGTACTCTTCATTTTAGCATTTGATGGAAAGATTAAAAACAATACTCTAGTGAGAAATGGTACCATAATTTTAAGAGCTCTGTTTGATATGAATATTTATATTTATTTTTCAGACATGACATACTTAACCGTTCTTTGACTTCCATTTGAAAAATAAGGATTTTCTCTTTTAATAGAAAAAGAATAAGGAAAGTAAACTTACTGAGTGTGAAATTTCATACAATTTGGTTTTGTTTTTCAAAAAATATAAAACATTTAAAAAAGTTTTCTGAAATGTTTGGACTCTTAATGTGCTGAATACCTTAATATCTGTGGATACTGTGACCATGAGAAACAGTATTGGTGTAGGCAGTTAAATCTGCCAGAAGAAGCTGAGTATATGGATCGTGATTCAGAACTCACAGTCAAGCAGGGGCAGACATCAAGTTACTGTAAAATAGGGATGATAGTAATAATTATTTCGTAGGGTTTTAGAGGTATTAACATGGTAAGTAATTATTATAAGTGCTGAATAAATGTCATTATCATAATGTTTTATTCTATTCAGAACTGTATTAGAGTCATGTATAATATGCAGTGATGTTTTAGATGAAGGGGCAATTCTGTACTAGGGTTGTTAAGCTCGTCTTTAGGTAGGACATATCATTTACATGGAGGTAGCATTGGGGAGTATAGTATTCCAGGTAGAATTGGGACCTTTAGCGGACCTGAAGAGATAAACAAGTACATGGTATTTTGGGGAAATAAGGATCCAGTGTGACTAGACTGCATGAGCTATGTTAAAGTACTTTGTAATCTATAAAGGAGGTAGCGTGCTATAGTGGAAAGATTAAAGGCTTAAAACTGGATGTGAAATACCAGAAGTGTGTATAAGTTTTGCTTTGCCTCATTTTAGCTCTGTGGTCTTTGACAGATTATTTAACTTCTGAGTCCTGTTTTATCATTGGTAAAATGATGATAATAAGTTTTTATGCTTTGTTGTTGAGAGGGGAGGTGTTTGTGAAGGACTTAGAACAATGCTGATACATAAAAGGCATGAAATATGTCCCTGCCTTTGTTACTTCCTTTAAATTCTCTTCCTTTTTAATAGCTTTACTTATAAAATATTGGTTTAAAAAAGATACATATTTTTAAACATTGATTTCTTTGTAGAGCTGAAAAACTATGTGGAGGTTACTAGTGATAAGAAAGTACTAGCTATAGTTTTTTAAAAAATGGACTTAATTTTATGCATCTTCTTATTAACAACTCTGCTTGTGTGTGTGTATGTGTGTGTTTAGTACAGGTTATGATACATTGTAGAAATTAACATTTATTGAGCAATATATATAGGTGGACATTGTATGTGCAGTTTGAAATGTGAGAAATCTCAAAATTTCTTTAACTGTGTTGTCAGTCAAATCAGTGGAAGAATTCAGTATGGGCTGTCACCTCAACTTATGAGTGAACTCTGTTTAAGTATGAAATCGTGAATTTTTTATCTTTTTTTTTTGAGTAAATGACTCACGTTTTTCTGAGAATAATAGGGACTAGCTGTTTTTATCCAATATGACTTTTTCCTTTGAAAAATGAGAAATTGCTTTGCAAATTCTGCAGACAGCGTTGAAGAAATTATGCTTAGTGTGAGAGGGGAAAAAAAAAGCTCTTGGTTAGAATATAACTAGGCTGTTCAAAGTTAATTGACATGCCTGGGGTGGGTGCTAATTAATAGTATATTCCCCTTAAGTCCAGTTTTAAAAGATTGCTACTCATGGAAAAGAAGCAAACCACGTTTTTTTTAGAGGTCTAAAATTATCAAGGTAGAAATGATGTTCTTCTTTTAAGAGCACCCTGAACAAAGTAGATTTTTCTTTACAATAATATAGATCATTTCCCCCCTGTCTATGAATTGCTAACTACAAAGAACACATTATTGAACACATTTTTCTCAAAGCCACTGCAGCAATTTGCAAAACTACTTAGGGACTGTCTATAGTGTACGAGACGAAATGTTTTCCTGCAGTTTGCATAACACTACTATTCTTTAAATTATTACTTAAAAATTTACCTTGAGACCTGATGAAAGGTGATATTTCAAAAATTTTATTGCAAACTCCAGGTTAGTTATAAAATTACAGGCAGTGTTTACTTTCTTTGGTTTCTTTTGTTTTAAAACATACAATAAAAAAATTAGATACAAATTATTTCTTTAGGAAGGGGGAAAAACTGAGATGTTACTCTTACTTATTTGGGGAATTTCAATTCTTATATTTACTTGATTGTCACGTCTGTTTTGCATCTCTCCATTGTTGTTGGTTGCATGTAATGTGCTTTTGTTGTTTTGGGGAGGTCAATTTGATTTGTTTTTTGTCTTGATAAACAATTTCGTACATCTGGTAGAATGTCAGAGCTGAAGTAACTGTAATGGTTATCTAGTGCAGCTCTATTATTTTATGGCTCAGGAAGTTGATTCCTAGAGAATTTAGGTCAAATTACTAGGTAATGTCATCTCTGCTAGAATCTAAGTATTCAGACTTCCAAGCCAGTGATATTTTTACTGTAACGTGGTGTCTTTGTTTACAAAAATTTATTTGGAGATGGTTATGATCATGATTTGATGCAGTGAAATTCTGCCTATCTAGATTGCTTTTTAGGATTCGCCTTTGTTGCCATCTCTTTGTAGAGTTCTTATATTACTAAATCCTATTTTGTTGGTAAAACTGTTTCCCTGGTTATCTGCCACATCTATTCCACCTTCTTTTTCTTGGGATATGGGGGGGTGGGCAGCTGGCCAGTACAGGGATCTAATTCTGGACATTGGTGTTTATTTCACATTTTTGTATCTTGTTGGCCTTTCATTGTATAACTGTTACCATTCCTTCTTTGAAGCCTTTCACATCTGCTCCAGTTCAAACCTGTCCTTTCTAATAATTTTTGAGATATTTGTAGTTTGTACTAAATATTTTTATCTTATTATGTATTCACGTTTTATCATTAATTGTTTACTGTGCATGTTGCCTGTCTTCTTGAGCCCTGTTAGTTCTTTAAGTGTGCATTTAAATTATCAAGAAAATTCTTGTTAGAATTGTTGGTGGTAGGCTATTGATGGAATATAAACACTCTTGGGATGATATTGATTGGCATTGATGCTATATGGTTAGACCTAGATGTTTGTTCATTAATGCATTCAAAAACATTTAATGGATACTGCTATGGTTTGAACAATGATTCCTTTCAAAATTCATGTTGAAACTTAATCCCCATTGTGGTGATATTAAGAGGTGGATGGGAAGTGATTAAGTCATGAGGGCTCTGCCCTTGTGAATGGATTAGTGCCTTATGAAAGGGCTGGAGGGAACCTCATCACCAGACATCAAACCTGCTAGCACCGTGATCTTGGACTTCCTAGCCTCTAAAACTGTGAGAAATAAATTTCTACTCTTTATGAATTATCCACTGTCAGGTATTTCGTTACAGCAGCACAAACGGACTAAGACAGATACCTAGTGTAAGTCAAGTACTGTGCTTGGTGCTGGGGAAAAGAGCAGTTAACACACCCAGTGCCCATTTCTTTTTAGCCCACAGTAGTGTGGGGATATATACAAGAAAATAAGTGAAAAGGAAAAAGGTGAGTTTTCAGTAACAAGTGGGCTGCAGAAGCCAACAGGGTGATATAGAAGCACAAGGGAAGAGGACTTAATCCAGAAAGCTATTTGAGAGTGTCTTCTCAGTTGAAAACTGAAGATGAGTTTTAAGGCAGACAAAGGTGAATGAAAGTAAAGTGTCCTTTGCAAAATAAACAGTACGTTTAAGTCTCTGAAGGAATAGGGTATGCTGTTTTCAAGGAATTGGAGAAGATTAGGATAACTGGATCTAGTGCAAGATTGAGAATCACCTAGGGATTTTGTTACTGTGCAGACTCTGGTTCATTTTGTTAGGGCTGCCATAACAAAATACCACAGACTTGGTGGCTAAACAATAGACATTTATTTTCTCACACTTTTGGAGGCTTAGAAATTCAAGATCAAGTTACTCTCAGGGTTAGTTTCTGGTGATGCCTTTCTGCTTGGCTTGTAGAAAGTCACTTTCTTTCTGTTTCCTCATATGGTCTTTAATGTCTGTTCAAGGGGGCAGGAGGGCAGCTGTGGGCTGGTATCGCTTCCTCTTTTATAAAGATATAGTCCTATCTGATCTTTTTCTCTTTTATAATGATACTAGTCCTATCTAATTAGGACCCTACCCGTATGACCTCATTTAACCTAATTACCTCCCAAAAGGTCCTATCACCAAATACACATTGGGGGTTATGGCTTCAGTATTTGAATTTTGAGGGGACACAATTCAGTTCATAACTAGTAGGTCTTGGGTAGAGCCCGAGATACCGCATTTCTAATAAGCTCCCAGGTGACTCTTGCTGCTGGTCTGAGGAACACACTTTGAGTAGCAAAAAGTAATCTTTTAATCAGCTGTGCCTGGTCATCTACCCTTAGCTGCTTAATGATTCACTTTTAAATATGAGAGTGAGTCTGAGTTCTCAATTTAGAGAACTGAAAGAGCCTGAAAGAAGTTGAGAATATAAGCTTTGGGTGGTTATAAATGATCATTTCTGAGTAAATGAAACATGTTTGAAAAGCTAAATTAAAATTATTTTCATCTTTGCCTATGTGAGTTTGATTTTATGTCACAAAATAAGAGCTATTGAAGAAGATAAAATATATTTTAGATTTGTTCATTTTTGCCTCCCCCCCCCTTTTTTAACCATAGACACTTAAAAGTAGTGTATTTTAAATAGTATTCCTAGACTTTGATCAGGAAGTAGTCTGAAAATCCCTGGCCTGAAGGACTTGTCTATGGTGAATTTGTTAGGCCCAAAGTGTCTTTTACTGTCTCTTTTTCTAGTCTCGAAATTAGCAGTAGACATTTCACTTTTGTGTAATCTGTGGAATCAGATATATGAATAGATTTTATTTCTGGAAGCTTTATTCCTTATTTGTAGTTGAATTTATTTGGGAACCAATACATTGTAGTGATGGGGCAGGATGAAAAGCCAACAGGGACCGATTGTGATTAGCTGCTTAGAATGCTTATATGTTCTGTCTTTATTCATTTATCTAAGTCCTGTGACTATAAACATGGTATTTAAATAAAGATACCTTTTTAAAATAATCTTTTTAAACTAATTTTTTGTTGCTTCTTTTAGAGATCAAGAAGCGCCAGTGTAAAGTTCTTTTTGAGTACACTCCACAAAATGAGGATGAACTGGAGCTGAAAGTGGGAGATATTATTGATATTAATGAAGAGGTAAGGAAAACATGTGTTAGAGATAAAGAAGCAATTGTAAATGATGCTCTGGATTTTTAAAAAATGCTCTGGATTTTTTAATAAAAAATTTTTTATTAATTTTTTTGTGAGGGTTTTTGCCAGTTTGTTTTTTATAAAATTTTAAGGTATAGATTTTCTTTATTCATCCTTGTTATATAGCTAATATTTGTGTACTGTATTTGTATATGTCACCTTTAGTAATGAAACAATTTTTTAAGCTAAAAATTAATGTTATCTGAGTAGCTAAGATCATAAACGAGCCTTTTCTTTGATTCTGAATTCATTGTAGGCACAAAACAGTGAAGTAGAAGGAATTTTATCTTTTGCATAATAAAGGAGTACAAAGCAGACTCTTTTTAACAGCTTTGCCTGTTTGAATAACTGCATTCAAATATTAATCAAGAACACTTTTTCTACATTTTAATATCTTAGAAGTTTTAAGAACTTAAAAATATTTTAAAAATAACTTCACATCTCTGCTGTATCATTGAAGGAGTATAAAGTTTTATTTGGCAGCTGAAGATCCCATTTTCAAGTGTATGTTTTGATATAATATAATGTAGCAGGGATTAATTTTGTATTGTAACATCCTGTAATGTAATTTATCATTAATGTTTATATTTATGTAAACTTCCAAGCAATTCTATTTTATTTCCACCTTGTGGCAATAATGATAAACAGTAACATTTATAAATAACAACATTTATTGAGCCTCTACTGTCTGACGCACTGTGCTAAGTGTTGCAATTTATTATTTCCTTTAAACTTCTAAACAACCAAACAAGATAGAAATTTTTATTTCCATTTTACATATGAAGAGACTGAATCTCAGAAGATAAGTGATTGGCTGTTCTAATTACTGTTGCTGTATACCAAGCCATTCCAAACTTAGTGGTAAAGAATAACTGTTTTCTTATGCTCATGGGTTGTGTGGGTCAAGAATTCAGATGGGGCACAGCAGGGATGGCTTGTTTGTGTTACATGATGTCTGGTGGCCTCAGCTGGAAAGATTCATATCGGGGGCTGGTAGAATCATAGGAAGGCTCTTTCACTCACTTCTTTAGTGCCTAGGATCCTCGACTCCTAGAACTGCCAGTTGAAGAGCCGTTCTGTAACCTCTCCATTTGGCTTGGCTTTCTTACAGTCTGGGAGCCTCAGGATGGTTGGACTTATTACATGCTAGTTCATGACTCTTGAGTGCAAACATTTCTGTGGATATGGTGTTAGCTTCATTGCCTTTTACAATCTAGCCTTGTAAATGATAGTGTCACTTTGACTACATTCTGTTCATTACAAGTGAGTCATAAGCCACCAAGATTGAAGGGGGAGAGGGCAGAAACCACCACTACTTCTTGGTGGGAGGAGTGTCTAGATTACATTTGTCAGAAGGGAGACGTTGTTGCAGCAATCTTTGCTTAAGTTCATATGCCTGGTATGTAGGGGAGCCTGAATTTTGAATTCATGCAGTGAGTGTTTATTAGTGTTCTTTTCCACTGTACTGCTCTGCCTCCTAAGAATTCTTAGTTCCTCACTACTTACTTGCTGCCAGTTGGGATTTCAGGTATAGATAATAGTCTGCTGATGTTTCTGTCCTTTTTTTGTGTTTGTTCCATTTTGGTTTACCTATTCCCATCACACCTGGTTTGAGTCACTCCCAGTCCTTTGGTGCCTCCTTAATATTGTGGAAAATTCTGAACACTTTACACTTACTGCCTTCCCTTCTTTCCTCAGCAACCTGTATTTGAGCCACTTTGTATTTCAGATATACCTTCCATGAATATATTACTTATTTTTATGTCACCTTATATTTCACATACTTTTTACCTGAGAAACGCATACTCAGCCTTTAATATCAAGTTGTTTTGTTATTTCCGTTTAGGGGAGCATTTTTTGATTCTTTTAAGCCCTTTCTAAATGTTCCTACAGCATTTTGTTCATACTTTTGTTACAGCACTTTTTACCTTGTACTACAACTATCTGCTTATTGTTCGTTTTCTTCTTTAGATGGTTTTATTCAAGGATAGGGATTTCTCAGTGCAAGTTTGAATCTTTCCCAGGCAGTCAATACCATGGCTTATACATAGTGAGTGCCTGTTATTAGATGAATAACTTATTAAAAGTTGCTTGTAATTATGCCGAGATGGAAAACATTAAAAAATATTTTAAAAAGAAAAAAGATCTTTTTCGAGTTGTGAGGTTGCCTGTACTGCTAAGTAAATTTTGACAGTGAATCGTTTAATCTTTAAAAAATTGTTTTTGCCTAGGAAAACCTTTTAGCATGCTTAGCAGAAACTCTGCATTTTTAAACTAATTTATTAAATAACTTCATGGGAATTGACTAACCTTGTTATTAGTGAGTGTAAGTTTTCGGAAGAGTTTGATTCATTTTGACAATATTTTTCTGAAGAGCTTGATTCATGATGACATTTCTCATTGGCGGGAGGTATTTAGTAGAGTCTCACATCTGTATTTTTAAAAGTAAGTCTTTTTCTTTGGTTAAGAATCACTATGAAAATAAAAGGTTTACTAGTTTTCTGTGTCTTATGAGAAGTTATGATCTTATAGTAATAAAACTTTTTTCAAATAAAAATTTCCAAATATCTTAAATAATATGTCATAATTACAAACCAGGGCTCAGTAGTGTTTGAGAGAGTAATATTTCAAAAGAGAGCTTTGCTATTGATATATTATATTTGGTTATCAGATACTTTGATGAAAAGAACTTAATTCATAGATTGCGATTGATTCCAAGTTCTCATTGTAAACATTGCAAAGTGCTATTAATATGTGATTAATTTCATATATGATTAATCACTTAAAGTACATTTTTCTCCATTGTGTTTTCTAAAGTTTTACAGGGATTCTTTTGCATTACTAACTTTGTGTTTATTCAGTTCTGGGGCTTAATTTTCCTGTAGGGTGAAGATTTTCACTTAAAAGAAATTTTTATTATATTGTATGATTTGTTAACTCTTTCAGGTAGAAGAAGGCTGGTGGAGTGGAACCCTGAACAACAAGTTAGGGCTGTTTCCCTCAAATTTTGTGAAAGAATTAGAGGTAACAGATGATGGTGAAACTCATGAAGCTCAGGAGGATTCAGGTATACTATTTTTAAAATTTTGAACTTTAAATTTTTTGAAAATTTAAAAATTTAAATATTAAAATAAACTTTGTATGTGATCTGCTGTTTATTTTGTATTATTAGAAACTCCCCTTTTGAACTCTCAATCAGCTTCAGTTAACTGACGTTTAAAAAGTAGATTATAATGGGGACCTAAAATGAACTAAATGTCTAGTTAAATAATTTAATATTTTTCCTTTTCCGATGTCTGCTTTAACACTAAGTAAACCTTTAGTACTCTGATTATAAAAGACTACTTATGTTATCTGATTTCTTTCTACTTAAGATATATTTACATATATGTTTTTTCTCCTGAGTTTGCAAATGGCCTATTTAACACTTCAGAAATTTTCGAAATTAAAAATCATATTGAGACTTCTGGAAGTATGGCAGGCTAGAGGTGCCCAGGGTGCGTTCCTCCACAGAAGAAGATTGAAATGGGCTCACCACTGCTGCAGTCACTGGAGCCATTATCTGGACCCAGAACTGTTGCTGATCACAGAGCAGCAGTCCTACAGGTGGCCTGTCATTGCAGCCACGGACTCTGCAGAGATGAAGGAAGCAACTGCAACTACTAGAGGCCATTGTTGCTTCTGCGAGTTAACACCCCTGCTGCCAAGGACACTGCATATGTGAGGGAGACAGCTGCAACTGTCCCCATGAGGTAACCCCGCTCCTGCCATGGATGCTGCAGACATGAGAGAGATGGCTGCAGTGGCTAGTGCTGCTGCATCCACCATCATGAGATAACCCGCGACGCCCCCAAGGACACTGCAGACAAAAAGGAGGCAGTTGTAGCTACTGTCCACATGAGGTAACCCCACTGCTACTACAGACACCGTAGTTGCAAGGGAAGCAATTGAGGCCACTGGTGCCACTGCCGCCCTCGTGAGGTAACTTTGCTGCTGCTATGGATACTGTAAATGCAAGGGAGGTAGTTATAGTTGCTGGTGCTTGTGCTGCCCCCACGAATTAATCCCTACCGCTGCAGACACCACAGACATGAGGGATGCAGTTGCAGCCACCGCCACTGCTGCTGCTGTGAGGTAATGCTGCTGTAGCTGCAGACACTGTAGCTGCATATGCTACCAGTGTGGACACTGCAGCCAAGTGGGTGGCTGCTGCAACCACCACTGCTGCAGTCACTGCGACCACCAGTGCTGTCCAGTAGCCACCATCTTTGTTTGAGCAGCATGCTGGTACTGGAGCCACCACTGCCATGTGGGCAGTCTGCCAAAGCCACCTCCACAACTACCACTGCTGCAAGGGTGGCCTGCTACCTGAGCAGCAGCCACTGCTGCTATGCTGGTGAACTGCTGACCACTTGACTGCATTGACACAAGGAGGGTCACCAGCAGAGTCCAGGGAAGGAGAGTGATAGAAGAAGCAACTGCTCTATCAGATGACCAGACATCACTATCAAGATGCTAGCAATATGAAAAAATGAGAAAATAAGAGTCCACCAAACAAATATAATAACTCTCAAGTACCAGATCCCTAAGCAGGAAACCCTTGAAATGACTGGAAGGGAATTACAAGTAAAAAGAATCTTAAGGAAACTCAGTGAGATACAAGACGACACAGTTAGATGACACAAGGAACTGAGCAGAACTACTCAGGATATGAAGGAAGAAATTTACAAAGAGATTAATACTGTAAAAAAGAGTAGCAGAACTCATGGAACTGAAGGAGTCATTCAGTGACATAAAAAACACAGCTGAGAGCTTAAGTAGCAGGCTAACGCAAACAGAAGAAAGAATATATGAACTTGAAGACAGTCTCTTCAAAATAACTTGGACAAAAAAGAGAAAAAGAAATTTAAAAAATGAAGAAAATCTGAGATAGTAGACAACCTTATGTGCACAAATATCCAAATCATGGATGTTCCAGAAGAGAAGGAGAAAGGAAAAGGCATTGAGTAATTCAATAAAATATTATATTCAATGAAACAATAGCAGAAAACTTCCTAGGTTATAGGGAGAGACACAGATCTTCAGATTCAGGAGGCTGAAAGATCCCCAGACAGATTCAATCCAAAAAGTTCCTCTCCAAGGCACATTATAGTCAAAATGGTAAAAGTCAGAGACAAAGAGAGAAACCTGAAAACAACAAGATAAAAGCATCAACCTATAAGGGAGTTGCCATGAACCTCATAGCTGACTTCTCAGCAGAAACTCTGTAGGCCACAAGAGGGTGGGATGATATATTCAAAATACTAAAAAGCAGCTTAGAATACTCTACCCAGCAAGGTTATCCATCAGAAATGAAGGAGAAATAGTGTATTTCCCAGGTAAACAAAAACTTAAGAGTTCACGCCATACAATCAGCGCTATGAGAAGTCCTCAAGAGAGTCCTGCATCTAGAATCCAGAAAATGATAATTATTGCCATAAGTACACAAGAAAAAACAACCCACTGGTAGAACAAAAGTGAAAATGAGAAAGAGAAAGAAACTATCTTACCACCTCCAAAACCCAACAAACCCGAAGACAAACAATAAAAGGAAAATGTTTCATTTAAAACATCCAAATGAAAATAGATAAAATACCAGAAGACAGTACCTTTCAGTAACAACCCTAAATGTAAATGGATTAAATTCTCCACTCAAAAAACACAGACTGGCTGGTTGGGTTAAGAAGATAGACTCAATGCTGTCTATAAGAGACCTCACTTCACTTGTAAAGACACACACAGACTAAGAGTGAGCAGACAAAAAAAGATATACCACGCAAGTGGAAATAAAAAATGAGTAGGAGTAGCTATTCTTATATCAGATAAAATAGACTTTAAGTCAAGAACTATAAAAAGAGACAAGGCCATTATGTAATGATAAAAGGATCTATCTGACAAGAAGACATAACAACCATAAATATATATACACCCAACATTGGAGCATCCAGATATATAAAGCAAACACCATTAGACCTAAGGAAAAAAGACCCCAATATGATAATAGTTAGGGATCTCCAAACCCCTCTGTCAACACTGGCCAGATCATCTAGTCAACAAATCAACAGAGAAACAAAGGATAGGTATTAAAAAATAGAAATTAAAAAAAATAGAAATCATTTCGAGTGTCTTGTCAGACCACAACAGATTAAAAGTAGAAATCAATAACAGGCAAAACTCTGGAAACTACACATACATGGAAATTAAACAACATGTTCCTGAACAACATATGGGCCCAAGAAGAAATTAAACAGGAAATCAAAAAATTTCTTGAATGACAAGAAAGACACATCATACCAAAATCTGGGAGATGCTGCAAAAGCAGTACTAAGAGGGAAGATTATTACAGTAAATGCTTACATCAAAAGAATAGAAAGATTTTGAATAAACAACCTAATGCTGTACCTCAGAGAACTAGAAAAATAAGTACACTCCAATCCCAGAATTAGTAGGTGGAAAGAAAGAAGATCAGAGCAGAAGTAAATGAAATTAAACCCCCCAAAATAATACAACAGATCAATGAAACAAAAATTTCATTTTTTGAAAAGATAAACAAAATAAACCATTAGCTAGACTAATGAAAAAAAGAGAAAAGACCCAAAAAACCAAAATTAGAAATGAAAAAGAACACATTACAACTGATACCACAGAAATACAAAGAATCATTAGAGACTACTATAAAGAACTATATGCCAACAAATTTGAAAACCTGGAGGAAATGGATAAATTTCTGGACACTAACAAATTACCAGCACTGAATCAAGAAGAAATAGAAAACCTGAATAGACCATTAACAAGTAACAAGATTGAAGCAGTAATCAGCATTCTCCTAACAAAGAAAAGCCCAGGACCGGATGGTTTTACTCCTGAATTCTGCCAAACCTTTAAAGAGGAATTAATACCAATTCTCTTCAGATTATTCCAGAAAATTGAAACAAGGCCATTCTCTCACAGACTCATTCTATGAGGCCAGCATCACCCTGATGCCAAAAGCAGGCAAAGATACAACAAAAAAAAAGAAAACTATAGACCAACATCTTTGATGAACATAAGACACAAAAATTCTCAATAAAATATTAGCAAATAGAATACAGCAACACATCAAAAAAAATTATGCACCACGATCAATTGGGATTCATCCTAGGGATGCAAGGATGTTTCAACGTAGGCAAGTCAATAAATGTAATACACCATGTCAACAAGATTAAGGACCAAAACCGTATGATTATCTCAGTAGATGCAGAAAAAGCATTTGACAAAATTCAACATCCCTTCATGATAAAGACTCTCAGCAAATTAGGTATAGAAGGAAAGTATCTCAACACAGTGAAAGCCGTATATGACATACCCACTGCTAATATCATCCTGAATGGGAAAAGCTGAAAGGTTTTCCCTTAAGAATGGGCACAAGACAAGGATGCCCATTCTCACCATTCCTATTTAACAGAGTATTGAAGTACTAGCCAGAGCAATCAGGAAGAGAAAGAAATAAAGGGCATTCATATTGGAAAGGACAAAGTCAAACTGTCCTAGTTTGCAGACAGCATGATCCTAGGTATATTCTATACTCGACCAAAAAACTGTTAGAGTTGATAAACAATTTCACTAAGGTCGCAGGATACAAAATCAACTCACAAAAATCAGTAGTGTTTTTATACTCCAGCAATGAACTAGTAGAAAAAGAAATCGAGCAAGCAAGCCCATTTATAATAATAATAATAATAAAAATAGTCAATCCAAGGAGGTGAAAGATCTCTACAGTGAGGACTATAAGTCACTGCTGAAAGAAATTAAAGAGGACACAAAAAGGTGGAAAGACATTATTCTTTCAGAAAGAGAAGAAATCTAGGGTAATTGGGGGAGGGAGGCAGAGTTGGATGGGGAGAGATTGGACAAGAGAATAAAGGATAATTATGATATGTAACAATATATATGCTAGTAACATTGATTTGATCAACATGTCTCAATGTTGAACCCCCAAAATATGTATAATCAATTTTGATTCAATAAATAAAATAATAATAATAATAA